GACATTATAATACATGGAAATAAATTCGATTTTTATTACATCGTGTGTAGATTAAATCTCAAACAAATAAATCTGAAGATATCGAGTTGGTACATCGTGTCATGTATAGCCGAGCGCATCACCCGCCCCGCGTCCCGCAAACCATCGAGGGCCAAGCTTACGGCAGTTTAACTATAAGATGGGTTGTGATTGATACCTGAAATAAAAGTATTTTACTTTCTGTATTTAACATCAGCCAAATTGTATTTTTACGAGTTCACATAATAATTTGGGAAGCGAGGACTTGATAAATACTTACTTATAAGAATGATATTGTCTTTCACGTCGAAGCAAATAAACGTAGATCATCATCTATCCTCTTTCCTCTGACGACTGCCATAAGACCTCCACAAACCGATACAACGAGTTCTCAAATATACAACTCTAAAGTTTGAAGAGACAGTAAAGGCCAATGACAACACGACCTCTGCTACAACCTCTTGTCGGATGTTCGTAATCATTCCTGATTAAATCGATTGATTTGATTCAAAAACGATCCTAAGGATCTTTGCGGTCTTGAGAATTCTTAATTCGCAAGTGAAAAATAATCTTTTTCAAGACATTCAGTAAGTATAAATAAATATAAATCCACATTTAATGACGCGACTGTACCTGGTAATTAAAAAAGAGTGGTCGTGAGTTTGTTTGCCTTTTCTTCTCATAAGGCTCAAAGGCCGCCTGGATACGGGATGTTGTAGATCGGGCACAGGCATTTTTTTTTATGTTAGAGGGGGCAGACGAGCAGACGGACGAAAGTGACCATCGCCGACCATGAATGTCTGCAACTCATGAGTTACAAACGCGTTGCCGGCCTTTTAGGAAGGAGTACGCTCTTTTCTTGAAGGTTTTCTTTTTTTGTAGGCATATAATGGATTTAATTTATTTTGCTAATATTTGACCAAAGAGATTGCTATTGTGTGTGTTGATCTATGACTTAAGAATCTACATAAAATATTGTTATTATTAATATTTAATATTGTCTGTTAGCACTACCAACGCACCGTTTTTCAACGGAATTTGTAATTATAGTATAGTAGACGGCTCTGCAGTATATTTAAGCTTTATTTCCTTACGTCCAAAACCATGGACTATAGACTTACAGTATCAGTTTATCAATATGGGTTTTATGTGTTTACAGTATTGACAATGTTGGTGTTGCAAACATCTATAGGTTACGATACTTATGCATATAAACTAAAATGCTAAACACCACAGTGGAATAAAGAAATAGTGAGGAATCTTTATACAATACGTCAATACAAAGAAGTTCGGAGATGATGCTCAAGGGTATGAAGGGTACAAAATAAAAAATTCTAAGTAACTTTACAGTCATTTATTAAAACATGAAAAAATCAACAACATGTCATTATTTTTGCAATTTACAAACAGAACACAACTAAATCTTTATGAATACTGTTATTGCTGAGCAATTAATATAAGAAATAGTTTATTACAAATTCAGTATAAATTTTATGCCCCCTACCCTACCCCTACACAATTACCCGCTTATTAATTATAGATATAAAGAATGAAATACTTATTTTTTTATTATTATTAGGTTAGATTATCAACTTCCATCATGTATAAATTAGGTGCTATTATTATTTTTTTGGTTTTTGGGTGGGATGGCTCAAACAACAGTCATTTATACTGCCTCGGCGGCTCAGTGGTAGCGTATGTGACTGCTGTTCTGAGGTCTCGGGTTCGATTCCTCGGTCTGACCAAATATTTGTATGTCAATCTAGCTTTTATAGTACAAGCTCTGCTTAGTTTGAAAGTAGATGGCGTTGTGTGTCACATGTCTGAAATATTATTAATATTATTTATTACAAGTATGTGCCGCTACCAATATAATGTCGGATTCGGTTCAGAATCTAAGCATACTACGATGTTAATGTCGTGCTTTATTTTCCGAATATACGAATACGTCTTGTATCCGAAGCTAAGCCTCAAATTACACAATTTTTAACACGCTTTTATTAGCATGGTATGTATGTAACGGAATCTTCAAACGTGATTTTGACCCACTTCAAAACGTCGAATTAAATTGACACTTTGCACACTTATCAAGGACCGATGGCAATGCAATAATAATAAATATTTTGTCCTATTATCCTGATCAGGACCTTCAGGATTAACTGCTTTTCCATACCTAAAATTGCAGTACAATCTTTTGCGACGTACTAAAGAGTGCATACGTGAGAAACTCACTTGCTACTTTTTTTTAGACTTAAGATAATAATCATCAGTAATGACTAAAAAATGAAAATTATTTTATATCATCTATGCTATCATATTACACCTTTAGAATAATATTTTTCCTGCTAAAAACAATTATGCTACGAGTAAGGGAGTCATAGCAGCCTGCCTGTGGTTGTAACACTAGATATCTAAGGTTTGTGTAGATTGTTTGTGCAAAACTAGTGCATAATAATGTTCAGGCTGTTTTATTTTATAAGACTACACTTAAATATTAATTATGAGAATGTAGCGTCTATACAGCTATATAGTGTGAATGCGAAGAATTCAGATTTAATTAAAGAGTGTGAACCGACTTTATCATGAAATATTTTTACTAAATATAATAACATACCTTTAAATTGTCTATTTATAAATACCTGTGTATCATAATACATAGTAGATAGGATACTAAAAAAGAAAATTATTCATAAAATATGAAAGATAGATATTTGATTCAGTTGAATTAAGTAATTCGCATTTTTTTTTGTTAAACTATAATAGTAGAATGTAGGTAAACTTGTTAAACTGATTATTGTACTGAGAATACTATATTTGCAATACACTCGGAACCTCGGTTATGCCACAGAGACATGTGGTGATAATACACACTAAAATACCTGTCTGTACTTCATCTACAAATGGGTATTTATGTTCAAATGATGAGGTTTTCAAATGCTACAGTTACAACTTAACTTAACTCAATACCATATAAATGCCACCATAACCAACCCCACGAAAGCATGACAATTCATCTAGAATATTAACACTACAGTAAAACAATCACGCATTTGCAATCTTTGTACACTTTTTTTTTGTACACAGCATATATATACTAAAATATCTTCTTTAGCTTACCAATAGAATAATTTGTCACCATAATTTTCAATAGCACGCATCTAAATGCAAGGTTATATAAGTTTGAACACATTTATAAGTGAACAGTGGCGTACTTGAGTAGCAACTAGTCAGTAGATTTCCCAGGTCCCTTACTCTGGCTCTGTCTTAAATAACATTCTTCCCATATACATAGGCGTGGACCGTAGCTGCCGAGCCGATCAGAGCCGCATGACCCGGATCCGTTACGACTTCACATCACACATCACATCATCAGCCTTTAATAGTCCACGCTGGACATAGCCCTCTCCTTTTTTACGTCTTCCATTGTCATAACTATCATCATTCATCAATATCCCTTTTTGTTGCTTTACCGATCTTTCCTTTTCAATGGACTCTAATTTTAAATCTTTAACTCCCAAAGTTCTCAGTGGAGGGCAATATATTTGCCAAAGATCAAATAATATTTGTATATATATATTATATTTTCGGACATCTGACACACAACGCCATCTAGTTTCAAACTAAGCAGAAAAAATGTGTGTAAAAAACGCCTCTACAGCTTTACAGGTGTAATGGACATAGAATGATATAATGGGTAAAACAATACTGATTTTATATCAAGATACCTTAAAAACGACATCGTGAATAATTAAAAACGCTCAATCTACTTGTTTTCTCATATTTGCTTCAGATAGTTTAGTACAATGCTGTCTATATTTGTAGTAATATAATATATTGATAGATGCCCTTTATCAAGAATTAATTAACTATATAAGAAATTATGATAATACATTTTATATATTATTGAACATAATATTAACTAACAAAAATACTTTTACATATAATCTTGGTTTAAATAAATATAGCTTGACCACATATACAAACAATTTGTGTGATCAACGAGTAGTGTACCACTTATTCATTCCATACTTCGATAATAGTTTTTTGTTTGTTTGGGACAGGCTGCTCCTTGGTGCCGTGTACACCATTATACGGTAAAAACCCTTTGACAATTTCAAACAGAATACGGGAGATAACCTAATCAATCTTTTTACCTTCAAAGTCCAGGGCTTTCCTATGAAGATATAAATATGGCTGTTTATTATGACTTGTAAAAAATAACGTAATTGTTTATTTAGGTTTTTCGTTAAGTAATTTATCACTGGAATCTCAGATCAAATAAAAAAGTCAAGATGGAACTTTGGGTAGAACGAAGTAGAGCCGGTTTTATAAACATGCGTGCGTGGGCCGGTGCTGCCATCATAATGTTATTTTATAAAAATATTGGTTTCTTCGCTTAGTTATGTGTGAAATGTGATTTCATCCTACTATCTATCTCTGGTAGTTTGATTTTTACACTCTTTCACAACACAATTCGGCGTTTTTACTTGTTAATTACGGCATTAATATTGTTGACATTTGTATGACGTTCTGACTGACAAGGCGTAGTTTGATTGTGTAGATTAAATCTCAAACAAATAAATCTGAAGATATCGAGCTAGTACATCGTGTCATGTATAGTCGAGCGCATCACCCGCCCCGCGTCCCGCAAACCATCAGGAGGGCCAAGGTTACGGCGGTTTAACTATAATTGTGTATGTACAGGTTGAGGCGTAGTTTTAATTGGCCTCACTTCTTTGTTCACAGAGCACCATCTTATCTATTTTATTTGATCTGAGACTGGAATTCCAAAAAGCCGGATTTTCGTTGTTTTTTTTTTGTCAACATAGCAAAATTCCTTTTCATTGAATTTCTGGCTGAAGAGGGCTGACAACAAATTAAAATAAATATCTACATAACTAAATAACACAATATCATCGGCTCCTAATATAAATATTGAAGTGTCTTGATGAACACCTTTTTCGATCTTTGAGAACCAATATTTACAACCTTGACAATGTTCTGTCATCTAACATGACTGCATTGCTTCTGCCAAATTCAACAGCAAACTGTGGTAATATTGACTTAATTATACTATGGCAGTTTTCCATTACCGTAGGCACCACTTCGTACGTCACTTCTTGCTCTCTGAAATAAATACATAATAATTTCAAATTGTAACTGATGTAATAACGGGTGTAATTTATTAGTAACAAGTATGTATTTAGAAATATTTAAGCCACGTTTATCGGGTACACTAAACAAATACGAAAAAATTTATTTCGTCAATCACAAATACAAATTTCAACATACCGATTTTCATTATTCCCAATAGTTCAAAATTCGAATATAACCACCCCGATTGATCATTCATCCTATTTTTATAATTAAAAAATTTCAATATGCCTACCTAACTTAATGATAATTCGAAACATCAAAAATTTGAATTCTTTCTATTCGAATTCGATTTCTTTCGAGAAAATATATTTTCTTACGCTGGTTACAGTTCTCACTGAACTTTCCCCAAATGATTCACCAACAATAGAGGGGATCTGGCGATCGGCGATCATTACATACACAGCTTCTGAATATTTATGCGTAACTGAATATTATACTAACTGAATCAGAATCTTAATTTCAGCGGTTTATTCGAAGAATTGATAATCGGAATTTCGTTTTTAGAACCGAGAACCAATCGAGCATTTGATTCTTCGAACGAATAAAAATCGGAAAACAAACACATCGCATTTACGACTTTCGGTAAAATAAATTTCGTGAATTTTAATAATATACATTTAAATTCTTCGGGACTATGAAATTCGGAATAAAATATTTCAGAGTAGGTATTTGGAGGTTCCCATATTTATCAGCAGTATGGTTAACGTTGTGCAGGCTCTGCATAGTTTGGGATCAGAGTGCCGTGTGTGAGTTGTGTGAAGTTATTGTTATTAACTTTTAGTTATAAAAATATGATAAAATGTGGAGTGAGTTTAATACCTCTGGGTCTCAAAATTTTAAAAACTATTTTCTGTCTTGTCTGTGTGGTGCCAGATCAAGAATAGGGAGAAACCCTATTTATCCCGTGGTGTCGTAAGATCCGACTGAGGGAGCAAACTCTGCAGGATAACAGCACTGCCAAAAGAAGGCAAACTGAACACCAACCCTTTTTTTTTTTTTTTTTTTTTTTTTTTTTTAACGTGTGGAAATCCCCTCGGACCGTCACCCCTCCGGGGTTTGCGGCGGGGTGGTGTGTCGGACTCGGACCGACTAAAACCACACGGTGTGCCACTCTGCGCCTGTAACAGGAGGGATCCGGGAACAGCTGTTGTTAAGACATCCGGACCCCTCCTAGCGCCAGCCCGCTCCTGGTGCGGGCTCCGTCTCAATGTTTTCCTCTCTTTATAGGCGACGTCCGGCACACGCGGACGCCGCCCCCTCGCGGCTGGCCAAACTAATGCGGGTGGAGGGGAAACCCACCCCGTCCACCCGCGGCCACACTCAGGGCGGCATGAGGCTGTGGTAGGCGGGCCTCCGCCGCCCGGTTCGCCGGCGGCGGATCGGGTCCGAGTGGAGGTCGTCCTCCCGGGCTCTCTCCGCCGCCTCCTTCCGCGAGATTACTACCTCGCAGAAGGTTGCGACCGCGGTAAAACAACTGTCGCTACCGGCCATGGAGCGTACTACGGCCGGTAGCGAGAGATCCACTCCGATGACTGCAGTGAGGGCCCGGCGCTGCGCCGCCCATGCGGGGCAGACCGCCAGCGTGTGCTGAGCCGAGTCCTCACTGCAGTCGCAGTGGTGGCAGGCGGGACTCAGTTCCCTCCTAGCGACCGTGTGCAGGTACTTTCCGAAGCAACCGTGCCCGGAAAGCACCTGCGTCAGCCGGAAGGAAAGGGTCCCGTGCTGCCGCCCTGCCCACTCGGCGATGACCGGCTGGAGAGCCTCCACGGCGGCGAAGCCAGCGCGTGGAGTCTCCAGCCGGAACGACCAACGAGCCATCGTGGCTCGGCGAGCGGCTTCGCGCCACTCGCGCACATCCTCGGGCGGAGGGCGAAATCCGCTCTCCGCCCGGTAGTCAGCCACTCGCCGATAAACTTCGGCGAGCACTTCCGCCTCCAAATCCCACGGGGGAGTTCCGGCCAACGCGCACGCCACCTCCGTCGAAACGGTGCGGTAACCGCGTATGGCTCTGACCGCCATTACCCTCTGAGGGCGCCAGAGGCGTACCCTATTCTGGGCGGTCAGAGCCGCCGCCCACACCGGTGCACCGTACAGTGCCATTGACCGGACAACCCCCGTGTACAGCCGTCTTGTCGCGACGCTGGGTCCACCCATATTGGGCAAAAGTCGCCCTAGGGCAGACGCAGCGCCGACCAGCTTTGGAGCAAGCTGTCGGAAGTGCTCGTCGAAGAGCCACCTCCCGTCGAGGATCAGGCCCAGATATTTCATCTGGGCCCGAACCGGTACGAGGACCGAGTTGACCACGATGGAGGCGCCAGGGGGTGGACCACGACGGGGCCCATGAAATAACAGGGCCTCCGTCTTATCTAGGGCCACCCGTAAGCCCAGCGCCTCAATGCGCCCGACCACCAGGGAGACTCCCCCTGTGGCCAGGCGCGCCGCCTCTTGGAAGTTTGCCCCCCGGGCTGTCACCAAGGTATCGTCTGCGTAACAGATTACACCCAGCCCGGGGGGGGAAATCGGCGCGAAGGGCCCAGTCGTACCCTATGTTCCACAAGAGGGGTCCAAGAACAGACCCCTGTGGAACACCGCACGACATGGGCCGACACCTCAAATTACCTTCTCGGTCCTCGTACACGACGGTACGCTCCTCTAAATAGTCTGCCACTAGCCGCCTCAGGTACTTTGGCACCCCATGATAGTGGAGTGCTTCCCTGATGCAGCTGAATGGCAGACTATTGAATGCGTTGGCGATGTCCAGTGACACCGCCAACAGCACGCCGCCACAGCTCACGGCCTCTTCGGTCACGGCCCTCAGGCGCAACACGGCGTCGACCGTCGAACGCCCCGCCCGAAAACCAAATTGGGCGTCCGACAGATCGGGGCCCACCTCGCAGAGGTGCCGGACGATGCGGGCAGAAAGAACCCTCTCAAACAATTTGCCCGCCTCGTCCAGCAGCACGATGGGCCTATAGGCCGCGACCGAATCGGCAGGCCGTCCCGGCTTCCTCAATAGGACCAGCTTCCCTATACCAACCCGTCTGGCCAGGGTGGTGTAGGAGGCCAAAAGCTCCTTTCTAAGGCTTTTGATAATGACGTTGAGCCCATTCTTCTTTTAGCGATATTTTAAATATATGTAAAAGAATGAACATAGGGGTCGGATTACCTCTTTAGTTTAATCATCGCTCCGACAGCGACCAGCCCCTGCAGACAGTTGGTCGCGGCCTCCAGGCTCAAGCAGTACGGGTGACAACGAGCTAACTCCACGTCCTGCTGAACTAACTTCAGAGCTTGTTTGTGTTCACAACTGCATTGCTAGAAATAAAAATATATATTAGGTATGGACCTAATATATGTTTATGAAATTGGCGTTTTGTACGGGTGGAATATAAAGTCAATTTTTTTTGTAAAATATATTTAATTAATCAAAATATGCACCGTTGTTATCTATGCACTTTTGCCATCTCGTAGGTGATCCCTTTACCAAAAAACCATCGGCGGGCAAGGGCAAGGCGGTTTGGACTGCCGCATCGGAGTTGAATTTTTTTCCTTGTAAGAAGTTGTCCAAAGTCCGGAAAACAATGGTATTCTGTTGGAGCAAGGTCCGGGGAGTACGGTGGATGTCGCAGAGATTCCAATTGTAGCTCATATAACTTTTCCATTGTGCGGTAATGAGCGAAGCCAAAGAAAAAAATATTGAGTAAAAAACAAATGCATGACTGTTTTCAAAACTCAAAATGTACCAGCAAATAAATGCATAAATTTAAATTTGGAATTATTAACCAAAGAGGAGATAAGTATTTCAGATCAAAGTGGTCAGTACGACAAAACGCTAATTTCATATGTAAGGACCTAATATATATAAAAGAAGTCATGATTTATACTGAGGTTATATTTCCTCTTTTCGTATATTCTTTTCAAAATTTCTGTTATTAAACAGTGGTACTGTCGGCAACATAAGTAGCTTAACACTATACATATTTCAGATCGTGATAGCTGAGACACCAACAAGTAAAACATGTAAACATATAGCCTTATCCTAGGAGGGTTACAAAAATACCTGTTTTTTATACTCTCAAGTCCAGCAGTTGACTGCTGGAGGCTGATTTGACTTGATTTTAATTTAGGAACACTCGCAACACCAATGATACTTTAAACCTAATCAAAATTATCAAATAATACATACCTTCAACATAATTTCGGCACACTTCAACACAGTAGTGAGCGCCGGCCACACGGACCACTTCAGTAAGTACTGTAATTTTGTATCCTCACCCAATGAGTATACGTCTCCGTTGTACGTGACAACTTTATTTTCTATACAATATTCGAGAGCTTTGCTGAATCTCTGAAAAGAAAATAAATTCAGTACCTAAAGTATATGCACGCAACGAATCTTTCTTTCGGCTTTTTCTTTCTGTTATCACATTTTCCAATAGAGCACAGCCGCGTCCAGCAGTTCACAAGCGTGAAGATTTTATTCATTGTTTTTATTAAATAAAAAAATACTTACATTTTCCTCCTCATGTTCCAGGTAGAAGAATTCGTGACTAAGCATTTTCCTGATTTGATGGTAATCGACTTCTAATTTAACTGAAAATTGTTATAAAATACGGTAAGATGAAACAACATATCGTTTACCTATTAAAATATATTCATTACATAAATTCGGCTATAACTAATCTATATCTAAATAAAAATAATACTTTGACTCAGTGCATTAATCCCGTATAAAACAAAAATTAATTTCATATTTTGCTGCCCACTTGATTCTTAGACTGCTATTTGCTAGCAATTTATTGCTTTCGCATAAACAATTTTTAGGTTTGCCGTCCATAATGATTGGTGTTTTACACTGTCACTTTATTCCAAAATATATCCAAAACTTAAAAAAGAAACTACATACTACTAAAAAAAACTACATTAGAATGTAGGTACTCAATTTATATTCTTATAAATAATTTAAAAAAAACTTATAACACAATTGTGTCTCTAGTTACATATATGTGAAATTCTTTACCTTTGTCAACAAGATTCTTATGCACTATAAGGCAGATGATGGCCGGAGACACTAGGCAATGCAATATAGGGTTCACATATAACTGCAACTGAATTATAGGCACGGCAAACAGCCATTGTTTGCGCTTGCAATGTGTGACCTGAAAAAAAAGTTCTATGGTGATACTGCCCGCAAATATTCTATAATTTTCATTAATCAAATGGAGCGTGTGCAGAGGTCTATGTACAGTAGTAGACGTCTTTCGGCTGAAATGATGATGATATTTAAAAAAAAAACTATTTCCGAATCAATTCCTAAATGACGTAAATTCGAGGTTCTGACAAACATAAAAAAATAACTAGTCCTTTTTTTAAGTTGGTTAAAAACGATCTGTGTTTATAATCTTCTAGAAAAGCATATTTATTACAATGATTAGAGACATCTTTTGCATCACAACTAAGTAAATAAGTATTTTCGGAATTTGAATACAGAAAATATTGAACACTTAATTTGCATTATTAATTTGACCAGTTCGTAAATAGAATCATTTCTGCACAACTTATTGCAAAAGTAATCAACAATAACATTGGTCAATATGAGTTTCATAACTTTAAATAGTAAATAGTCAGTATATAAGAAGCAATGTAGGTAGTACATAACGGAAATCAAGTGTTAATCGACTATAAAATGTTAGAGAACATCGACAGTTATAATCATTAAACTGTTAATATGTTCGTAAATGCATGTAAGTTTTAGATGTAAATTAAGTTCTACTAACAACAGTTCGGTGTGTTTTAAAAGTTCCGTGGTATCCTACACAAAAGACGTGAGCGACGCTGCTGGTAAAAACTAGCAAAACATAATCTAAATAGTCCACGAAGTTCACATGAACAAGTCCCAAAAATCTTGAAGGTTATAAATAAAATCCTTCTGGCGAAGACAACGCGTTATTGATTCTCTTGGGCCTCAGATTTAATGTGATACAAAAGCATTCAATTGAAATGTAACTTTTAATGAGTTGTATAATTATATACAATATACAATTGTACAGCACAGCGGGTTTAAGGTTACTGATATTTCATTACAGTACTGACTAGCGCGTAGGGGACGTGCTCTAATTCGAATGTGCGACGTATATTTCACCGACCTTAGTCTGCATTAATGTGTAGTTAGTTTAATTCAAGGTAACGAGTGAAGTATTAACTGCTCTATGTTTAAATTTTTTAAGAGATAACAAAAGCTAACGATTGTTTTTGTTTATGAAGTGATTTACTTTTTTTTGGTTGAATTTTTTTTTCGGTTTACTTAGGTTGTGAGTTAAGATAAGGTTTTGTCCATAAATGACAAAACCTTATCTTATCTCACAAACCGTTTTCAGATTTATTAATGTTAACTATTGTTTACTAGCTACAGACGCCTTTTAGTAATATCAATAAAACATTTTGGAAACCTTCCTTCTCACTTTCGATAGGGCTTCAGAAAAGATGTGAAATTTAAATGTCAGTTTATTTCCCTTCGGTAGCCATCGAAACCGATGGGTTGTAACTAGTTGAGGAGTAGGAAAAAATGATCTTCGTACGCAACCAGTTTCTAACCAGGATTTTTCAACAACTTTAAATTCACGAAGCACTACGCAGCGAATTTTAACAAAAGACCTCTACCTTCATGCGTACAAGAATTAGCTAACTCAGGAGCTCTAACCAGCAGACCATGAAAAGCGCAGGCAATTCGTTCAATGGGTAATGGAGCAAAGTGAAGTCGACGCCAATATTTCGAAAACAGTTGTCTTCTCCAATGAAGCGCAATACACAAAATTGACGAATTTGGAGCTCAGAAAATCCTCATGCAATTCATGAGAAACAAATGCACCCACAACGAGCAACTGTCTTCCTTACTTTTTTGAAGATGAGGCCGAAATTGCAGTGACTGCGAACGGCATTCGTTACAGGAATACGATAACGGAAATCTTGTGGCCTCAACTGGACGGCATGGATCAGGGCAACATGTGGTTTCAGCAGGACGGCGACACCTGCCACACCGCGCATGAAACAATCGACTTACTGTAGCAACGATTTCCAGAACACATAATGTGTTCTTACATACTTCATACTGTTTCTCTCACGAAATTCTGGTTTGAACTGGCCACCAAGATCGTGCGATTTAACGCCGTGCGATTTTTTTCTTTGGTATTTATGCGAATAAACCAAAAACAATTCCTGAGCTCAAATCAGAGATCAAAATTTCATGAAAAGAGTAATGGCCTGTCATCAGAGCCGTGGGGACCATTTGCCGGACATTTTATTCCATACTTAATCCGAAAATGTCTTTTTTACAACCCAATAAAAATATATATCACAACTCTTTCATAAAATACGTGTTTATATTTTAAAATGAAAAAGTGCACTCTTACTGAGATACCCTTTATTAAGCGTCTACGTAAACTACACGTAATACAATGATGAATGAATTAATAGGTTGTAGTTCATTGTCACTAAGTTAGTGGTAATAATTTACAACATATTGACATATTTCCCAGAATGATATTATCTATTAACGTTTAGTTTTTAAAGTGGTAGGGAATATATCATATATTTTCACATTTATTAGAATTTCGACAGCGAAGTCAATATGGGTTTTTTTTCCGTACAAAAATAAAACACTCTGCTATTAACTTTAAAAAAAAAGAATACCGATTCTCTTATGATACTTATATCAAATATTCCAATTAACAGGTAAACATAAATATGTACAAAAATTTGCAAGCCTACCGAAGGCAATGTAAAATTCATCATATATTTATAACAGTATCCATGACGAAAAATGAATAAGCTTTCGGTGGAGAAAATTGGTTATGTCTAGTCTTACCTTTCATTTTCTTCTCGATATCGTTGGACATATCCATTAGAACTCCTGATTTCAGTCGCAATCGTCTCTGTCTATCCAGCCGCATCATCTTGCCATGCACTACAAGGATCCTTTCCACACTGCTCTTCACATCGTTTTCAAACACCGATCCCCCTAAATGCCTCAAAACCGTCGCCATCCAATTAACCTCTTGAAGAACTTCGTCAAAATGTAGAGGCTCGTTTTTAATAACACTTTGCATTAATACTAAAGATAGTAGATTCGAAATTGTGGCTACAGTGTTCTTCTGTTGCAGAGTAGTGACATAATCAGCTATGCTCTGTACTTGTTTGAATTGTTCGTTAGTTAGCTGCTGCAAATCCACGGGCTTTAGTGTCTCTCTCGTATATAGGGTGTTGTTCTTGAGGTACTCTCTGACAGATAACGGATTACCAAGGTTAACATAGATACTGCCAAAGTGGTCGTTTAGGTTGTGCAATGCTTTTAGGAGACCCTGAAAATAGAAATTATAACAGCAGCAATTAGCAATTATATAATTATTAGCAGTCGTACTGGCAGTCTATCGCTGATCTTAACTGTGCTTAATTGACACGTTTGCTTGATAATAAAGGTTGTAGTTGTATAATGTATGGGTATCATAAAAAAAGAAAAAAAGCAAAGGTAACAAGTTTACTTTGCTCTCGTTGTTTACATACAGTATACACGTACTGGCGTATATTGAAAGGCCTCCTAAGCCTGCGAATCTTTCCTTTTTACTGTCACGAGTCTGCAAATGGGATACGTACCACGAATCCAATGTACTTCATTGCGGTACGTACCTATTAGACACTACACGACATGCTAGTTTTCTAATTAAACTATTACAACATATATTCCCAGGAATATACATTGTACGGGCTGGTTTATTATTACGATGCATTTTAAATGGATGCATCTAAAATATTTGGCATTATAGAGTATCACTTTTTGACTTGATTTTTCTAGAAGTGTGTATTCATGGTCGTGTTTGATTTAAGGCCCTCTTGCAGTGCGGTGTGTAGGTGTGCAAACGTTACCTCACCGCTAACGTATCGTAACCAAAGAGGCAGCGTGTCAAAAAGCTCAAACTTTCGTCCAGATATTGTGCCACAGTGCAGCGTAATGCAGTAGGTTAGAAAAGTATATCGTGATTGAGATATATAATTCTAATTGGTTTTTGCAGGAATTAAATAACCGATTAAACAGGAGGGCTAAGGTCTTTATGCTCCTAGGTAGTATAGGATATTAAATCATTACTTCCTTTCTACCCATATAATTTGTTTACTCAAAATCCCATGAACAATATGTTTTTTTTTAATAGCCAGGCAATTTTATTGATGTTACCTAACGGTCCAACATTTATTGCAAAAGGACTAGAACCTGCAAAACGCTATTCAGTACAATATGTGTTATAGGTTTTGAACATTTCTGTGAGTTCAAAGTTTCATGGTCTTCCTGTGTTCTGTTCTTCGCATGGGATTTTATAACGTGTTAAGATTCATTATTTGTAATCAATTACCTTGTGATACTAATCTGATCTTTTAGAATCTTAACAAAAGATATAATAATAATTGAGGCGGAGGTTTTATTATAAAAGTTATTACAATAGTTGTATAATGAACTACCAGGGCACTAATTATGTCGTAGTCTAGTCAAGGGACGAGTTCCCGTTCACACAGACCAGTTAGCTTAAGTTAGCATCCAACTCTACTACTACTCTCCAGGGTGATTTCACCGCTGGCTCCAACCCAGGTTGAACACGCATCTTTAGAAGGCTTTAAAATTCGCCGGCACGATGAAAAAGTTCAATTGATAATAAAGTCTTAACTACTTTCAGTGTCACATTCAATTTACACAATATTAATGTGTCTATTGAATGTCCCTCTTTTGCTGTGATTACGATTAAGTTTAGTTTACTATAGTATGATGCAATTGTTTTACAAACTATTAGCGGAAAGTGATAACATTTCACGGCAAATAACATGAACTCGTGTCGTACTGAGCCAAAGGCGTCTTCTAAATCCATCCTACAGACTGATATTTGCCTTTCATTTATCCTAGCATCAATGAGACTTTCCGCAAGTAATGAGTTGTAATGTTCCAGACATCCAGAGATTCCGGGCATGAATCCTTTCTGGTGATTTGGTCTGAAGTAATTATTTTTTTACATACACTCTATTACTTTTAATTGAAGAAAGGAGAAAAATATTTCCAAAATTGTATTAGCAAGGGCTATCGGTTTGGTGTCTCTGTGATCTATTACTTCACTTTTCTTAGGAATGAGGACAAAAATAGCTTTTAGTAATTCTGTGTTCGACCAGATCTTGCAGAATATACTTAGAAAGTGTTTACGCACTGATGGACCTTTTACTAGGTAGGTAGGTATTCACTAGGTATATATGGTATTTGAGGAACTAAAAAACTATGTCTTGTATTAACATTCAACTGAGCATTAATTATATAGACTCCCAACGTCACATGGGCATTATTTTTGAACCTCGAAAAACTTCATTAAGTTTTCGTCTCAAGCAATTTTATTTTATTTACGTCATCGAGAATCTTTATATATTTATACCAGATACTTATATCAATAACTTAAACAACCCAGTCCATTATTTTTGTTAAGATCTAAAGAGCAAACTAGTCATAAATTATGTACACTATTGTTAACATCTTCTAAATTTTAATTATGCACATTTTTATTAGCCTCCTACACTGTAATGGTTCATTTTATCACATTTGTGGCAGTATTTACCATATGCTGGATAATTTCTGCAACCATGTTAATGTTTACATTTTTTACACAAATACAAAATTACTTTTTTATTATAGATGTTCTCTTTTAGAATAATTTGCTTTAAAAATAATGTCGCATACTGAATGTATTGCTTAAAAATTTTTTTGCAACTTATATCCTTTATTTTATGTTTTTTTACTGTTTTTCTGTAGTTGATACTTTGTTTTATAATTTCCATTACTAAAATTGTAGTTAACTTAACCGACTGGGCCGAAATAGATGGTTAATAACAGCAAAAAAGAAAAAAAGAAAAAAACATGTACATATTGTCAGCTACCTAACAAGGTATTATAGTCTAGGATAGTATCACAATTCATAAAAAAAAACTTAGAAGAAAGACCGGGAGTTTTAAGAATTAGCATACAACACGATAGTACCTAGTTGAAAACGGCTTGTATTTTTGGACTGTTTCATTTTCTATTCGTGACAAACTATTGCTAACTGAACTTTGATTTTTGCGTCTGATGCTATTGGAGATGATGACCTATGCGGACAAGGAATATGTTCATATTTTGATTTCTTACGGATACTGTATCCGTATCCGGCTATCGAGTGCCAGATGTTATTTGTGTTGGACGGAGATTATTAGATCACGTTGCACTGATGAAAATGACGAAGAAGACAACGAGATAATTCAACGATTTGTATTGGTTCCAACAACTTCAACCGATATTGTTACCTTAGAAATTAGACTCTCATAGTGGAAAGTGTAGTGTGCCTTGAATGTTGCGGGCCAGTACCCATATCACTATACGCTGGTACAAGTTATTAAAGAATGAGGAGGAGAAGGAAGGAAGAGAAGGTATGGTTAATGCAGATTTATGTAGAAGACCCCTTATTTTATTTCTAAGACATTCATGGGCATGTGTAGTCCAAATTTGATAAAAACGGTATAACTAATTACCACAGCACTGATAAATACTAATATTACGCAGATAAATGGGCCACAAAAACGCTTCAGTTTGAATGTGTAAATGGGTATTATTATCAAACCACTTGATTGGATTTTTTTCTCCCCGAGAACACTAAGAAAACTTTTTAGATACAAAATTTAACTTACTTACTTGATGATTTACCACTTGATCTCATCTCATTCGCGGCATGAGGTTTCAATCCTGGGCATTATAGGACAAGCACGGCTGGATTCTAAAGAATGGATTCTGAAGAAAGAATGGCTGGATTCTAATTAGTAATAAGTTGGTCGGGTGGCTCGTGTGGATACGCATTGGCAGTATCCGTAACAAATCAGAATATCGGCATATTCCTCGTTCATATAGGTCGTCATCCTCAACAGTATTAGAAGCACAAATCAAAGTTCAGTTAGCAATAGTTAGTCATGATTAGAAAACGAAACAGTCCATAAATACAAGCTAAGTTTTCAACCAGGTACTACCGGGTTGTTCGCTAATTCTTAGTACTCCCGGTCTTTTATCTAAGTTTTTTTTCTATGAATTCTGATACTATCCTAGACTATTATACCTTGCTTGCAACACGTAATATCTACAGTTTAATGGTTTTAGATTTTTTTGTAAATAGTCTTTTTGCTATTAATAATCCATCTACTTCGGCCCAGTTGGTTGATTTAACTACAATTTTAGTAATGGAAATTATAAAACAAAGTGTCATCTACATTAAAACAGTAAAAAAAAAAATAAAGGATATAAGTATAAAAAAAATATTAGGCAAAATTTCGCAAATTTTGTTAAAAATGGTTATTTTTGGGATATGGAATTTTATAGTGAAATTTATAAGAAATTTTAGCAACTAGAACCCCTTAAAGTATTTAGGTCGACTTACATAGTAACCCTTTATATTAGGGCGTTTCAAAAAAAATATTCAAAAACCATTTTTTTTTGCATGATTTAGGTTGCTGCAACTCGGCGGGCTGTATGACCAGTGTTACTAGTATTTCGGCAAGATGGCCATTAGCATTAGCTTGTAACTAGGCATACACAAAAAGTATCGATACCCTGAGGTATCGATACTTTTGTTTCGATATCAAGTACTTTTGGCATCGATACTTTTGTTCCGATACTTTTGAGGTATTGATACTTTCTTTCTCCCCATTTCTAATAAATTATTAGCTTAAGAAAAATAAAAAAGTGTGGTGTTGTTTTATGAAACTACGATTCAAGTGAAACTTTTTTCGGATCTATGACGCTCGGCTGTATTGTGACATGCGATAGATGGATCTTTATGGGTTGAATAATCTGTGTAGTTTTTTGTCTTTTAAAGTATTTTACTTATTCAGTTTTAGCAGCCCTTAATGGTATTATTGCAATATTTGCACTTCATGTTTCAGTTCCTTAGTTATGGGAAAGTACTTCGCTGCATTTAAAGTTTAATCAAACTCAAGAAAAAATGAAAATGATACACTTTCGTGTAAAATTTGTTTTAAAATACTGAAAACAAGTGGGAACGAGGAATGTTTTTTTTTCCAAACTTAGCAACACAAACTACACTTCATTCGCGTTTTTTATAAATGTTTAAAAAATACTCGATACCTTTAGGTATCGATACTTTTGATACGATACTGAAATTTTGTGTATCCCTACTTGTAACTTGTCTAAAAGAAAGAAATTGCCAAATAAAAGATAAAATCATAATGAATCAAAGGACCGTATGTTGTTAGAGTTTTAATAAATATATAACATATCACGATCCTAACATCTAATAAC